CAAAGCTTCACCATCCTTGCCTCTAATGTTTGTTCTTTTTTTTTCAGTCCAGGAGATATTCCATGCTCTTCTCCAGCACCACAACTCAAAACATTATTTGATAAAGCAATTCAAGGCTTCAATGTTTTCTTCAGTCCTTTCAGCTTGAGAAATGCTGAGTATTTTAACCCTTTTTTGTTTCCTAACTCTAGGTTTTTGCACATTTCACCAAAATGCTTTGGTTTTGTGAGCTACTCTTTGAAATCTATTTAGCTCTTTTAGTTCATTACTTATCTTTTCTTTAGCCATTCTATGTTAGAATACTGCTGGCACCAGCAGCCAAGAAATCAAAAGCTAAATTGCATTAGGCAAATCTGTTGTCAGGGACTTCTCCAAAGTACTAGAGACTAAGGTGCACCTGATTCAGGCTTTGGTCTTCACAATTACTTTCTATGCTTCAGAAAGCTGAACAGTGACTAAGGATGACAGAAAAAGAATCAATGCCTTTGAGTTGTGGTGCTGGAGAAGAGTCTTGAACATACCATGGACTGCCAAGAAAACAAATAAATCTGTCTTGGACAGGGTAAAACCATACTCCTTGAAGGCTGGGATTTTGAAGCTCCATTTCACATACTTTAGGCATGTGGCCAGGAGGGGATCGTCCTTGAAGAAGGACATCATGTTCAGAAGGATGAAGGGATAGCACAGGAGAGGAAGACCCTGGATGAGATAGATTGACACAGTAATTGGGCTAATGAGGATAGGTGTGTTGGAGTCAGTGAGATTGGCTCAGGACAGGGCAGGCTTCAGAGCTATTGTAGATAAGGTGGCTATGAGTCGCAGATGACTCGATGGCACATAACAACAGTTAAAAGTAAGTTTCAGTGTATTTCTTGACATTAATTTTTGGTCTTTTCTTTCATTCCTCTTTTTCTAATGATTTCTTTTTCCTCCTGTATGATGTCCTTAGCTTTCTCCCACATTTTGTTTGGATTTTGATCATTAATGTTCAATGCTAATCTATTCTTGAGATGATCTCCAAACTCAAATGAAATGTGTCTAAGGTTACTCTTTGTTTCTTGAGAGCTTATTTTTCATTGTCTTCAACTTCAACCTGAACTTGCGTATGAAAAATTGGTAATATGTTCTTCAGGCATTCCTTGGCTTTGTTCTGACTATTGATGATTGAGTTTCTCCATCTTCTCCTTCCTCAGATGTAGCTGATTTGATTCTCAACCATTCCGTCTTATGAGGTCTATGTGTGTTACAGTTGTTTACAATGTTAAAAAAATATATTTGCAATAATAAGGCAATGATCTTAGAAAAACTGTTCCTTCTCACAACGACCTCTCGGATAGAGCAAGAGTGACTGAGAATTAATCCCTCAAAATTAAACAAAAACATTAACTAGATTCCCTTTTCTTTTATCTCCCATTGAGTTAATAGCTACTGATTAACCACCTGTTAGTGTGAATCCAACCATCAATTAGCGAAGTTCCCTGCACGCCCTGGGGCCATTTCCCCAGAATTTTGCAGAATTCATTTTTCCTTCCATTCTCCCTACAGAGAGCTTCATCACATTCCTTTCCTTTTTGGTAGTTCACCCAATCTTTGAGTATGAAAGTGCTGGGGAAAAGTCTCTGATGCTTTAAAGATATAGCCTTGGTAGTTGTCAGAGCATTGGGAGTCAATCCTCTGTACATAATTTTATCCTTATTAAAAGCCTTTAGAAGTTCAACCTATCTGGCATTTACTACCTTTTCTCCCCCCAGGGGGGATACTTTCCTCCCATGACGCTGGGAGTAGGTTACAACATGCTGGTAAACAACAACAACAGCAACGCTCAGGCAGGAAGCTCTTTTGGCTTAGTGGAAAGGAATTGTGCTACAACCCAAAGGCACATGGTTTGAATCCATCAGCTACTCTGTGGGAGAAAGATGGGCAACCTCCTGCCATGTGATTTGTTGTTGTTGTTGTGTACCATTGAGTTAGAACCCACCCAGAGCTGACCCTCCAGCAGATTTACAAAGGCATTTAAATGCAAGGGAGGAGATTGCCCATCCTTCTCCCACAGAGAAGCTGGTGGATTCAAACTGTGTACCTTCAGGATTGCAGCACAACTTCTTTTCACTAGGCCACTAGAGCTCCCTATCATGTGATTTACTGCCTCTGGAAACCCACTGAAGGATAAGCTATGGGTTGGTTCCAAGTCAACCGTAAACAACAACAACAACTCTAAGACAACGAGGATGTAACATGCTGAGCTAGAGCTCTAAGAGTGGAATGGCTTTTTCGAGTTCACAGAACAGGGCCAAGTCCAGATGTTGGGTCTGTAGGTCCTGAGCTCTGACAATCACGTGTTGTCCTGTAGCAGAATGCCTTGTTCCCTTAAGCCAGAGCGCTGCTTGAGAGCCACTGGAATGGAGAAGGACCCATCAAGAAAGAAACTGCCAGGGGTGAATCCCGGATGCTCTGGACATCTCCAGGATAGAGATTTCATCTTTCCTCTGGAGGAAGTGAAGATGATCAAGGACTTCTATAAGGTACAGGAAATCTAGATTTGGTAACAGAAGACTTATACCAATGGACCTTTTCCCGCCATTAGCCTGATGGGGTCCTTTCACATTCAAGCTCTGGTGACCTAGTGGGTTTCCCCAGAGAGGCTGAGTGAGTACTATAATCTCTTCTCTGCTTGGGAGGGCTTGGGAATTCTGATCTAGCTGTTGGCATTTGAGAGAGCAATGTGATTCAATTGATGGCATTTAGAAAGGGGGTCATTAGTCTGATTGATGAGTCTGAAGGGCTTGAATGTGATTGGTGAGATGGTGAACAATGGCATAACTAGAGGCAGTGGAAGAGCAAAGGTCATCCCCTGACACTGTTAGAGAGGGTTCACCAAGCAGCACCAGCTGGAAAAACAGCGTTGCCGGCAATGGACTATCAATGTGCTCACCGTCACCAGAGTTAGTGTGCCCTGCTGCCCGAGAGGAGGAGTCTTGGCATCATCCCTGGCCCCTAACCCCATACCTACCAATCATGATGCCAGAAGGTGAGCCAGCCACAGTGTGCTCACCATTGGAAGAGAGGAAAGTCCTTGCCTTGACCAGAGAGAAGGGAGTAGATGCAGAGAGCTACCCACAAATAACAATTCACTGAGCGTGGAGGAGTTGAGAAGGAAGGCGGGGCCTGTCACTCTACCCACTAGTGAAGGTTTTGCTGGTGAACTGTGTCCACAGAGGAGTGGTGACACCAGAATTCTCTGCACTGAGTGACATCAATCCTAGTACTGGGGAGCTCTCCTCCAATTGGTGGACCTGTTAAACACTCAGCTTTCAGTAAACTCAACTCAGGTGAGACTTAGAAAGTTCTTCACTGTGCCTGACGGTGTGATGGTGTTCAGTTCCCATTTTTCTGGCTTAATGACATTTTCTTCTTGGTTAGGATCTCTGCTCTGATTGCTTAGCTTGGATGATTCATGCCCTCGGTGGCTGGTACAACAAGTCAGAGTGACAGTTCACTCCGTGTCTCCTGGGGCTGGGACTGTGTAAGGGGACAACCAAAACATGGCTCAAGGGAGGAAGGAGCTTTTGGGGAAGGGGAGTTGACTCTGGAGGCTCCATCTCTCTTGTCCAGAGGCCTCGCTGAGGACTCACGATATAGTATCTGTGCCCACGCCACCTGTGCTGGAAGCTAGGGCCTCCAGGGGCTGCGCTGCCTTCTTCCCTCTCCCTCAAGAGTCCTTCCCACTCCCAGCAGCTCACACTACCCCACCTCAGAATGGAGGGTGTGAGGAGAGACAGCCTGGGCAGGGCCTGGTTTGTGAGCACCCAGCCCTTTCCACCATCTGAACTGCTGTATGAGTTCAGGGTCCAACTGAAATCATAGCTAATAAACCAAATTCCAGAATGCTTCTGGTGTTGCCCTCATTCCTTTGTTAACTTGTCAGACTGCTCATTGAGCCAGTTTTAGAAGCCTCCAGGTGGTGCAATGATTAACATACTCTGCTGCTAGCTGAAAGGTTGGTAGTTCAAGCCCATCTAGACCTGATGGAGCATGGAAAGTGAGTGGGTGAGTGTGTGATGAAACTTCTTCCATGTGATAAGCACTGTGCTGTGAGGTGCTTTGGAGTAAAACATTCAGCCATGTGTCCATCAATCTGGCTTTGTTAATGCCTCTGCTATTGTTCCTGACCTTCAGTGAGAGAGTGAAATGTTGGCTGGAGTGAGAACTCAAAATGTTAGGATGTGCAAAGTGCCTAGATTAGTGCCAGGGACAGAGCAGATGTTCTTTAAGTATTGCTGATATTCTTTATGGCTTTCGGAAGATCAGACTGAGAGAAAGGGCCAAGATCTCTAATCAGGAGGTGGTCAGGGTGGGTAGAGTGATGGCTGGGCTCTTGGGCAGGGCCTCAGAGAGCTGTGAAGAAAGGCAAAGGGAACATCTCAGATGGGCAGCGTCAGCTCTGATGATTCCCTGGGGACGGGAGGGCAGCCCATGATTGTCTGCACCAGCCAGGCCTCCATCCTCTCTAGGAAGCCTTCCTGCCCTTAAGTCAGGAGACAGAAACCCTTGCTCTGGACTAGGGCAGGGCTTGAGGCCAGACCCAATGTCAGCTGAGTCTGTGAAGCTGTTGGGCTCAGCTCTGTGGCTTTTGGCAATGCATTGCCCTGCCTGGACTCTGTTCTCCCTCAGCTGTGAATCAACTTGCTAGGCTATGGAGATCTCAGGGAAATTGCTGACAAGTATCATTTGTGTACTTTCTCCTTATCCCAGGAAGCTGCTCCCCTGGCTCCTGGGATGAATGAATGGTCACATGTCTTTGTGTTTGGAATCTTTATTCAGTTTCAGGAGCCAAATACTCTTTAGTTCAGGTGTCCAATGACTGCATCTCAGGTCCAGCTTCCTTGGCTGTAGGGGGTTTCAGATGACCATGGTAGCCAGTTGCCCTCACTGGGATGGACGAAGTAGACTTAGATGAGAGGTAGGCTGCCAAGTGTTAGGTCAGAGCACCCAGGGTCTTGTCAGAGGCAGCCAGTACAAGCCACGTTCACACACAGCTCACAGTCATCGTTAGCGATGGTCTCTGGCAGGGAGAGAGAAACAGTCAGTGAACTTGAACCTGAAACCAGGCAGCTAGAGAGGGATGCTTCAGAGCAGGCCTGGAGGAGCCACATAGGTATCTTATGTACAAGCTAAAAGCCTGAAACTTTAGAAGCAGGATTAGAGGGTTCAAGTCTCAGACTCTCTCTTAACTAGGGACAACTGATCACAATCACTTAAATTGTCAATGTCATTTCAAATGGAAAGAGGACCAACTTGACATTGTATTGTGGGGAGAATGCACAGTATAAATAAAGGCTTAGCAGATGCTGTTAATAGCTCTGGCCAAAGCCATCAATCCTTCAGATTTCAGCTTAGACGACACTGCCTCTTGAAAGTGTCTCTCCCACAGACACGCCACCTTGTCTTCCACGTGTCCTCAGGACTTTCCCTCTCTACTACACTGTAGTCACTGTCTGCTGATGAGTCTGTCCCTGAAGACTGTTCCTCTCATTGAAGCGCTTGAGGTAGGACTCTCAGCTTACCTGGTAGTAAGAGCAGGAAAGTCCCAGAGAGAACCAAGGCTAAGTTCAGTAGTTAGGTCATGAGGTGGAAGAGTTGAGTTGGGAAGAAGACAGAAGATGGCCAAGGAGTTAGAGGAGAGTTCTTCCACTCCCCAGTGTCTGGGAGGAAAGCCTTCAGGGGTCGAGGACACTTACGCAAGGCCCTGAAGATGCTGGCCGCTTCCTTAGAGGCACAGACAGGCTGGAGGTCCGAAGGCAGAGCTGGGTTTTGGCATACAGAGGATGGGAGGCTCTGGGCCTGCAGGCGGAGGCTGGGCACCTGCTGCCCCTCCAGGTCACTTAGCTTTTTCACCGATTCTAACTGGACCTGGAAGCCTTGGTACTGGAGAGGAGGATAGGAAGAGATAGGAGTGGGTATCAAAATCTGGCCCAGCTTAGGCTCTGCCTTCACGACTTAGGGTTTCTAGGACCCCAAGATCTTGTGCACCCTTCCCTGTTCTTTTGGAAAGGTGAGGCCACATTGAAAGACCAGCTTGGCGTGTCACAATAGTCACAGCTGATTTCCCTGTCACTTGTGCTACAGACCTCAGTAACAACTAGATAAAGTTGAATCAAGGCTATGGGACTCCCTGGTTTTACATGTGGGCTTTAGAAACAGGCAGATCCTCGTTCAAATCACAACTGTGTCTCCAATGGCAACCTGTTTCTTTCACTCTCTGGCAAGCAGAGATCATCATACTTCATTCTCTGGGTGTCTAAGGGTCAGACCAGTCCTCACACAGTCCCTGGAGTCTAGTATGCTCCTCAGGAACACATGGCAACACAATGAGGTCCCAGTGGCTGAGCCCCAAGCCCAGCAGCCAGGGTGAAGACACCCCTCCCAGGACCCTGAGGCTGGCTAGGGTCAGGGGTGTGACTTCCAGGCCCCTCAACGCCCTCCTACCCACATGGGCAGGCTCTGCTTCTAAGAGTTCCGGGACCGTGTTCACATCTTCTATTCCTGGCTCCCTTCTGCTCATCCCATCAGGAGAAAGGCAGGTGGGGTTACCGGGGAAGCTTTGGGCTTCACTAGCTCCTCCACCTGGCTGAGCTGCTAGGGCAGGAAAGGGGTTTCCTTTAGGCTCCTCCAGGGCAGCGGCCTCTGTGATGAGATGGGCCTTGGTGCACAGTGCCCAGTAAACAGCCTTTTATTGTCACCATCATCACTGCTGTTGGCATTCCAGCTGCCACCACCCACCAGCTGCTTTGGTTCTGGGAATGTGCTGGGTGTGGGGCTGAGCATTGAGCCAACTGGTCCTTATGCTCCCTAAGAGTTTTCCACTAAAAAGTGCCCTCTCCCTTGGAGACCTTCAGACAAAGGTTAGGATGGCCCAACAGCTCACCTTGATGTAGACTGACTGTGTGCCTTGCAGCAGCAGCAGCAGCAGGACCACAGCCATCGCAGTCGGGAGCCCTGACACCATCCTGCCGCCCATCCTGCTCCTCTGTGTTCCCACCGCCACCGTCCCCTTGTCTACTCGGCTCCCACCTGCTCTCCCACCTGGCTGCTCCTTATAGGCCTGACTCCAGCACCCTAGTCACTCATTAACTGGACAGCTGGGGTGGGGCTGACAGCTGGTTATCTGACAAGGCCAGAACTGGTTCCCAGGGAGGAGGGCAAGGCAACTGAGAGCATGCTGGGATATGCGATGTGCCGAGGCACCCAGCTGTGTTCTGGGCTCTGAGTGAGAGATTTACCCGCACACCACGTGCACTCATGTCTCGGGACAACTCAAGACAACTGTGTGAGTGGAATGATATGATGACCACGCTAGACACAGGGTAAGTTAAGCTCAAGAAGTATAGTGGTTTGCCTCTGGTCACAGAGCTAGTCTACGGCAGAATGAGGACTCCAGCCAGGTGTCTTTGGGCCAGGTCAGCCTATGGCTCTTTTCCTGGGCAAAGGGTGTAGATAGACAGGCTGGCCCAGGGCAAAGGTGCGACAAATATAGGGCTGCTTTCAGGGTTATCTTTGTCCCCAGATTCATGTCTCTCCCATCTCCTCTCTCCAGTTTCATTTTAGGGCCATCCCTCCCATCAGCCCTTGCCCAGGTTCTCAACCTGCCACAGTCTCTGCTCTCCCAACAGTGCCCGGGCACCTTCACGTCATGATTTATCTATTTCACCCATCCATGGACTACAGCCTTCAATATGGATCAACACTCAATATGAAGAAAACAAAGTTTCTTACCACTGGGCCAACTGGCAGCTCCATGATAGATGGAGTAGAGATTGAGATTGTTAACAGCTTCAGTTTGCTTGGTTCCACAGTTAACACTCTTGGTACCAGCGTCCAGGAAATCAAAAGACACACTGCATTGGGAAAATCTTCTTTCCGGGACCTCTCCAGAGTACTGAAGAGATTAAGGTGCACCTGATCCAAGCCATGGTCTTGGCAATTACTTGTTATACATCAGAGAGATGGACAACGATTAAGGATGATAGAAGAAGAACCAATGCCTTTGAGCTGTGGTGCTGGAGAAGAGTATTGAGCACACCATGGACTGCTAAGAGGACAAACAGGTTTGTCCTGGAGAGGGTGAAATCAGGCTCCCTTGGAAGCAAGGATTTTGAAGCTCCGTCTTACATACTTTGGGCATGTTGCCAGGAGGGACTAGTCCTTTGTGGAGGGACAGTACAAGAGAGGAAGACTCTGAAAGAGATGAATCAACTCAATGTCTGGGAGGTTGGGGGTAGGTATATTGGAGACAATTAAATTGGCTCAGGATAGAGCAGGGTTCAGAGCTGTTGTATAGAGAGGGTCGCTATGAGTTACAGGTGACTCGATGAGATATAACAAGACAACAATGCCTTCTATAAGCTCAGAAGAAAGAGGAAAGAGTGCCAACATTGGAGTAACATTGACCTGGGATGAAATCCTGATCCTGCTGTAGCAATGTGATCTTGGGCAAGTCATGTCAACTCTGTTTGAGCCTCATTTTCTTCATTTAAGCGATGGACATTACTAGTAGACCCAGTGCACAGGGTTGCTGTAAGAGGATATGGCCCAGGTTCTCATGAGCTTGCTCTCATCTCCTGGATAGCACGTGATGAAACAGGTCCCCTAGTCTCATAGTCATCTTCCAAGGCAATGCATAACCCACTGCCTCAGTGCTTGAAGGTTGGGCTAGGGAGATGAGAGGGTAAAGTTCATGACAGTGTTATCACCACTGCCAGCCCAGGCAGCTGTAAACAGAGCCCAGGCCAGAGCTCAGCTGTGCCAGGCACAGAGCTTAGCGATAGACATCCCATGCATAGTATTGAATTGAAGCCCAGAAGGCCCAACTCCAAGCTCCAACTTGATGGCTAAAACTTGATGTCAGCTTCCTCTCTAACACTTATCATCCTTATATATGACTTATCCTTTCTCATGCTTTTTCTGATGTGTTCTATCTGCCTGAAATTCCCATTTCTCTTTCTTAACTTGGATTAACACGGAAGAGGTTTGAGTGACTGTTGGTATTTCCTATGTCCTGTCTTGAATTCACATGTCAGCCTTTTCTAGCTTTAGAATATGAAAAAATCAGAACTTGTGTGCTTTCTCTCCTCTAACATGGAAACAATAGATAAAATAGCTCTTATTTACGTAACATTGACTATATTCTAGGCTCGGTGTTACATCGTGAATATAATTCCTTAATCATATAACAAGTTTTAACCATTTGCCATGGAGTTTATTTTAACCTGTGCTAATTCCATGCTTGCTTTTTTCAGAAGCAGATCACCAGATATTTCTCTTAGTTTTGGGGTATTGAACAGTTAATAGTCCTATGTGCAACCACAAGGATTCCTATTTCAATGATATAAATAAGTACAACATTTGCCCTCATTTGACAAATAAGTTATTTACAAATGAGGCTCAATGAGGTCAAGCTGCAGGTTTATCACCACAGCCTGAGTGAAGAGAGCGACCTGGATTATTTGGTTTCTGTTTTGGTTTGGTTTTCTAATCCATCATTTATCTCTATGAAGTATGTGATGTTGGAGGAAAAGGAACGCAGGCCTTGGAGGTATACCTGAGTTCATTCCCAGACTCCAGCACTCATCCACTATGCCACCTTAACAGTATTACTTAGCTTTTCTAAGCCTCCATTTCGTCAGCAATAAAGTGGAAAAAATGAATAACTTCTTAGTAGCTATAGGGAGCTCTCGTGGCTCAGTGGTAAGGAATTGTGCTGCCAATTCAAAGGCTCACGGTTTGAATCCACCAGCTGCTCCTACAAGGGAAAGATGTATAATCTCCTCAAGTGAAATTGACAGCTGCTGAAATCCCAATGGAGTTTTGGTTCCTACGTGATGGTACATAACAGCAACAAAGTAGTTGTGAGAAAACTTTAACTTGGAATCAAGATATCCAGAATCTTCCTTTGCCATTGACTAATTTGCTATCATGGGGCAAGTTCACTTAAAAAAATATTATTAATTTCAATGAAAATTTACAGAGACTTTGGGTTTCCATTCATTCATTGTTGCACTTTTCTCCATTCCCAACACTACCCCCTAGTACACTGCCCTCCTGGAAAAGTAGAAGAAAAATTCTTTCATTGTTTTACTGTTACTTCACTTTTGAGCTACAATTTCTCTGTCTGTAAAGTGGTCACCCTTGTTCTAGAACATTCCATCTCTCAGCATGTGGCTGGCACAGGAGAGACATTCAGTCGATGATGGTTTCTTTGTGTCTTTTTCAAGACCACACACCTACCACGTCTTCTACTGTAGACTCTTCCTTGAGAAATACAATCTTTGAATCCATAGCTGGAGCAATTTTTATTTTGTTTTTAACCTCAAAAATGCAAGCTCACTGCCATTGAATTGGTTCCTACACATGACAATCCTCTGTTGTCTTTCCAATGCTGCCAATCTTCACAGAAGGAGACTGCTCTTCTTTCCCCATGGAGTGGCTGCTGGATTTGAGCAGCTGGAGAGGAAGTCCTCTTGGTTGGTGGTGTAACTCCCTGCAGTCTAAGCCACCAGAGCCTAAACTTGATGTGGCCATTTGTTTTGGTGTAGCATAGGTTCTGAAATAAAACCAAACTGAGTTTATTCAACAGCTTGATCTTGGACAAATGACACAATTTCTCTGAATCTCATTTTTCCATTTGTGAAAATTTTCAGTTTTTAATGTCTTTATGAGGCTCCTTGACTCCCTGGCCCATGTTTTTTCCATCAAAGCAAGCCTAACCCCTTAGCACCCATAGCTAGGGGAGAAGAAACAGATCTGCAGGGTTTGGAGAGCACTATGGTGTGGGCTTCCTTCCCTTCCCTCCCCTCACATGTCTCTCCTTCTCTGGGAAGAACAAGTTAGGACTTTCCCATCCACCTAATGTAGCTCTAGTCCATAGTGTAAACCTATCTCTTCCTAATCTCTTCACGAATGATCCACCATCCATCAAAACTAATCTATCCAAACACGTCAATTTCCACCACCACTTCCCTTTACCTCACTGCCAATTGATTTTTCTCAGGCTACTTCCTTTTTAGTGAACATGGGAAGTTATGGTCACACCACTGCAGGCTTCAGTCTCTGTGTGGAAGCCTCAAGCATGGACTACTGAGGCTATTTGTGTGGGATGGGCTGCTTGTATCTCTATAATCGATTCCCTGTCGTACCGAGCAACATGGTACCAGATTATGACTCTTTCTGTCATCCCTTTACTGACCGTTTCACCAAGAATTCATTCCACTTGACATCTGGAAAACACATTTACCAGATTTTCTGCAAATATCATTCGCCTCATGGTCTCAATTGCAATTGTCTTTTAATTCTTTTTTTTTTGGTATCTAAACTTGAAAATTGGGAAGAGTGTATGCCAGGGATGTGTCCTATCTCCATACCTTTTCAACATGTATGCAGAGCAGACTATCTGGGAGGCTGGGCTCTATGAGGAGAATTGTGGCATCAGGATTGGTGGAAGATCTATTAACAATCTGCATTATGCAGATAACACAACCTTGCTTGCTGTAACTGAGGAGGACCTCATGCACTTGCTGCAGAGGGTCAAAGACTGCAGCCTTCAGTATGGACTGAGGCTCAATGTCAAGAAGACAAAGATTCTCACCACTGGACCAATTGGTAGCATCAGGATGGATGGAGAAGAGATTGAGATTGTTCACAGCTTCCGTTTGCTCGGTTCCACAGTCAACACTCTTGGCACCAGCAGTCAGGAAATCAAAAAGCATATCGCGATGGGAAAGTCTGCTGTTAGGGACCTCTCTAAAGTACTCAAGAGCAACGGTGTCTCTCTGGAGACGAAGGTGCGCCTGATACAGGCCATGGTCTTTGCAATCACTTGTTATGCATCAGAGAGTTGGACAATGACTAGGGAGGACAGAAGGAGAATTGATGCCTTTGAGCTGTGGTGTTGGAGAAGAGTATTGAATGTACCATGGACTGCCAAGAAAGCAAACAGATTCATCTTGGAGAGGATTAAACCAA